ATACCCATGTATACTCTGAAACACAACAATCTTATACAATGATCTTAAATATACATACATATTATCTCACCTACCCCCACCGCCTGCTGAAGATGAAATCCAACTAAAAAGAAAAGGAATGTAGTGAAAAAAAAGGCGAAACAAACACAACTAAACTGCATTGCCACATATGTCCATTAACTAATAGGCTTACTTTTAAGTTAACAGACTAGCGGATGCCAAATCTTGTCAAATTGTACATATTTGCCCTTCAAGGAGTATCTAATTAGTATCTAGTGGTTTTTTGGTTGTAATTAAACCACATGCAAGAAGCTTGTGTTGTTCTGTGCTTAGTGTATGTAAGGAAACTGACACCCCTAATATAATGAAAGCTCTATCTGGCAAAATTTGAACCCCATGTATTTCTGAAAGCATTTTAAAAACTTTATACCAATAACACTGTATTTTTGGACATACCGTAGGATAAGGCTATAAGACAGTATCAGACTATCAGCGTCATACAATTTGCATTTGTCACAGAGGGGAGAAAGATCTGGAAAAATCTTGTGTAATTTTGTCTTTGAGGACTGCAGTCTGTGAACGATTTTAAACTGAATAAGTGTATGTCTGGTATTAATAGAATGTTCATGAATTTTCTCAAGGCTGCTCTGCCAGATCTCCTCAGGAATATGCATCCCTAGGTCTTTTTCACAGTCTTTTTAAATTACATTCATAGAAGGGGAGCTGATGGGTAGTAGCATGTTGGTGATATTCGTCTATTACTACCACTACCGAAGTCAAGACATCTGTCAAGAACAGTAGGCACTGCACTCTCAAAGACGGAATATAGGTGCGTATGTAGTTTCTGAATTGTAGATACCTAAAAAATTTACTCCTGGGGAGTCTAAGTTTTTATTGCAGTTGAGTAAAAGAGGCAAATACCCCATGGATGTAGAGATTCCCAATAGTGCTTATACCTAGGTCCTTCCACTGTGAAACCCCCCCCCATCAAGTTGAGACGGTGGAAACGATGGATTCCAAGCAATAGAGGTAAGAAAAGACAAAGTTTTAATCTTAAAATGGCTCTTAATTTGCTTCCAGATACAAATTGTATTCTGTATAGTGACACTGCCACCAAAGATAGACTTGTCCAGTGTCAGGGGAGGCAAAATCACAGCCCCAAGATCATAGGGGTTACATTGTTCACGTTCTAGCTGTAGCCAATTTGGGGGGTCAGCAGAGATACCCAACCGCATTGAAACAGTTCACATATTAGCAGCCCAATAATAGAGGCGGAAATCTGGAAGGGCCAGCCCACCCTCTCGTTTGGACTTACAAAAATGTGCCTTCTTAATTCTATGATTTTTATAATCCCACAAAAAAGCAATAATAATAGAGTCCAGACATTTAAAGAAAGATTTGGGCAGAAAGAGTGTTCTGAAATAGATACAGTAGTTGAGGCAAAAAAAAAATCATTTTAATTGCACTATTTCTACCAATCAATTGGGAGATATCTCCAAAATTGTATACTAGCTTTCAATTTGCTCAGTAAAGGATTAAAGTTAGCCTTTAAGCGGGATGAGTAATTATTAGTAATGACAGTTTCTCTGGTGAAACTCTAAACCAAAAGGGTTGTATCAGAGGCACGTCTTTTAGCCCAGTGGGCATCAGTTCACTTTTGTTCCAATCTTTTTGATCTTGAACTCAGAAAAAGTCCCAAATATTTCAATTCTGTCCAGAATAACTGGCAAGCTAACATGAGGTTTGGTGGCATAGATCAGAATATCATCTGGGTAAAGAGATATTTTGTTAACTGTATTTGATCTATTGAAACCTTGAACATCATGGTCATAACAAATACATGGTACATTTCTTAACAAAATACAAAATTTTCTTTGTAGCGTTGAATTTTTGTGGAAAAAGTGTGATGTTGGAAACTAACGACACTAATGCATGGTCTTAAATAAGCATATAAGATTTGTATAAAATTGTTAGACTCTACTTAGGGTTTTAGACTCTATGTTTCGTTTTATTAGTAACCTTTGTATTCCAAACACTGCCGTTGTCTCCTAACAGCAAACAACTAATATTGACTCATATTGACTCATTGCTTTAAGTCAATAAGACTTTTTTGACTTATATTAGTTACATTAGTTATATTAGTTACATTAGATTTTCTTAACTAATAAAATCAATACATTTGTGAATAATTAAATCAGCCTTCACTGGTTATTTTGTGGTTGATGTGATATTCAGTATGTTGTTCATTCCAACATCAATGAGGAAAAACGATATCATCCATAGACAAGCAACTACAATAGATGGATTCAGCTTCACTGACGGGGATTTTTTTTTTTTGCTACAGGGGGGTGATGAACAGAGAGCAGGAGATGAATCCTATTTTGAGACCCATCCACATCCATGTCTTGGCGTTCAATAATCACAATGGCTATGATCTCTCTTTTGTCCCCAGGTTTTGTCTTGGTGGTGTCCGCTGAGGGCTGCCTCTTCCTCCCATATGAGATTATTTGGGCTTCAGTCAGGAAACTAAATATTTAACCTTCATTAATTATTAATCATTAATCATGAACAAGTCATCCATCTTTGGGTCATGTTCAATATTCAGCAATGGATATCTGATTGATTTATATTTTACAGCAAGACAGATGTAAACTTTGTTAAAATGTTATTGTATCTTCACCTAATCATCAGGAGTGTCCAAGCTTTTTTCAAAGGGGGCCAGATTTATATTTATCATTTTTTAATACTTGGTTACATTAGTGGTTTCCAGCTCTATTGAAATTGTCCCTTCTCACTGTTAACTTTTCACTTTTTATCTGTAGCCATGATTAAATATCATTCTACAGATTTATTAATTTGCAGGTGTAGTCAGAGTAACAACAGATCTTGCATTTTAAGCTGTGTTAACACAGTCAGCTGCTACCATCAGGTGAAAGGACAAACTTGCAATTTGTGTTGGCTGGAGGGCCACCTATCATTCATTCCAAGAGAGAAGCTGCAGGCCAATTAGCGTCTGTCCATGGCCGACTTTGGCCACCCCTGATCTAAATGATTAGTAGTAGAAATAGACAGACAAAAGTCTAAGGTATGACAAGAGCTTACAGTGGCTTAAAAAGGTGTATCTTGTGCAAGCAGGTACTCTGGCAGTAAGCGCTTTATCCTGGTCAAGGTCAAGGTGGATTCGGAGCCTATTCCAGGAACACTGGGCATGAGGTGGGAACACAACCTGGATATTCCATCTTCCATCTTAGAGCTTCCAGATATTCAGTTCTGGTTAAGGTACTAAATTACCCACAATCCCATTGCACTACAGTAAAATCATCCACATACAGTGTTTAAATACTGGACCTTCAATCAAGACCTTCACATAAAATATATACAGGTTCCAGGCCCCCTCAGGCCTCAGCCCAAAGACGTTTTTTGTGAGAAAGGGCTTCCATCTAGCCACCCTACCCTCCCAGCCCAGACATGTGAAGAATACGAGAGATTGTTGCCCCATGCAGAGAGTAATCAGTACTTGTCAGATATTCCTGCAGCTCCTTTAATGTTGCCGTAGGTCATTGGGCAGCCTCCCTGGTAAGTTTTTGTCTTGTCCTTTTGTAAATTTTGGAGGGATGTCCTGTTCTCTGTAATGTCACTGTGGTGCTCCATTTTCTCTATTTGTTGATGATGGTCTTTATGGTGTTCGATGGTACATCTAATGTTTTGGAAATTCTTTTATACCCCTCTCCTGATCGATACCTTTCAACAAATGAGATACCACGCATGCTTTGTAAGCTCTTTGCAGACCATGGCTTCAGCAGTCGGATGAAACCAATAAGATGTGAAGAAAATCCTACAGAAACAGTAGGTCTTTATTTGGGCTATTAATCAGAATAATTTCATTGATGACAGCTGTATGAAATTACTTTTGAACATGAGATTGAATGTGATTGGTTCATTCTGAACACAGCCACATCCGCAATTATAAAAGGGTGTGCACACTTATGCAACAAAGTTATTGAACTTTTTTATTTTTACTATTTTTCTCTAAAATAAAACATGTTATTTAACAAATATAAATTGTATAAATAATTCCTTCTTGGAACAAGTCTCCAGTGTCAATGCATTGTATCAGTCAGATGTAAAGCTGTACCTTTTTTCTGACATGCTGTATTTTTTTTTTGTACTATTAACTTCAGGAAAAAATGAGAGATGACTATGTATAGAGGAGTTGTAAGGTAAGTGATAACAGGAGCTAACTTGTTTCGTGGATGTTCTATAACATCAAATGTAACAATAAATAGTTCATAATTAATAAAATAAAAAAAAAATTAATTATTGGAAAATTGCTGTGGTATAAGAGGAATAAAACACTCCAGGACATGCTGATGTCCATTAGGTTGGTAACAGTTGAAGTTTAAAAGGTCAGAAGAAGAAGCCTAGAAGAAGCCTTTATATGTCATATATACAGGTCAAGATTCAGGGCTCTCGGTATGGACTCAATAAATCTGAGTCATCACTGCACTCATGCAACTTCTGTTCGTAAGTAAACATCTGATAGAGATCACAAAGGCATCACATCTGGAACGAATCTCCCAAGAGCCCCTCAGTCCCTTAGGAACACACTGCAATTTCTGATTACACATCTTCATTTACCGTATAACTCTGTACTGTATACACGTGAGACAACATTACACACACACACACACAGTGTAATTAGCAGCTGTTTGTATTGTCTTCTGTTTCTATAATTAATATTTCTTGGTCATTATCACAACTACTTAGTACATGTCAGTAGTTAGTAGGCATAGTATAACATCCTAACTCATTGCTATGGTATTATCACAATATTGCTTTGGAGAGACAGGTGGAATGTTCTTGCAATGTTTACAGCATTATGAAAAGGAAATATGCAATCTGTTGCTCTAAAATGGAATATATTTTCTTTAATGCACTAACATTTATGAACAGTTCATTATGTTGTATTTCATTTATTCATCTTCGGTAAGCACTTTGGGTGCCTGGAAAACTAGTGGTTAGGCCTCGGCGCTCTTACCGCCATGGTCCGGGTTCGATTCCTGGCCAGGGAACCGACCCCAGCCACTGGGGTTGCACAAGACAGTGCACTCCAATGCCGGGCCTAATCCCAGATAAAAATTGGGGAGGATCGTGTCAGGAAGGTCATCTGGCATAAAAACTGTGCCAAATCAAATATGCAGATCAGTGCTCTGCCATGGCCACCCCCACCGGGAGCAGCCGAAGAAAAAAAATCTTCAGTAAGCACTTTATCCTAATCAGGGTCATGGTGGATCCATGGGGTCAATCCTGGGAACACTAGGAATGCATCCCGCAGTCCATCACATGGCACACATACATTTGCACACTCATTCCCCCTTAGTGGCAATTTAGAGCGACTAATTCACCTACCAGCATTTTGTGAAAGTGGGAGGAAACCAGAGAACTCAGAGGAAACCCACAGGGCCATGGGGCGAACATGAGAAGCTATAGACAGTAATGTGAGCTCAGGATCACCCTGGGGACACTGGAACTACGAGATGGAAATGCTACCCACTGCACCACCCTATAATATTACAGTCCATGTAAATGGTTAATTGCTCTGTGTGTGTGTGTGTGTGTGTGTGTGTGTGTGTGTGTGTGTGCATGGTGCAATGAATGAATGAATGTTAAAATTCAAATTCAAATTTTATTGGTCACACACACAACCATACATAGTAAGACATGCAGTGAAATTCTTTTTATGACTGTCAGTGACATAAAAATACAATTTACATAAACCAGAATTTACTTTTATACATGTAGAAAAGGAAAAAATATAATAAAAGGGATATAAAAGATAGATGGCAGCAACAGAATGACTATATTTGGAATAAAATAGAAATGCATAATGGACAGCATTGCAGGAGACCGAACATGTAAGACCGAACATGTAAAACATTTAAAACAGTAATTTGTGATCACAAAATGTATATAAATCATATATATATGAACTTATACATCCCAGTCGGCTCTATATAGAGTTCCATTATTCTGTACTTTATGTAGTGCAAATATTCATCATTACTCGATCATTTTGTGATCACAAATTACTGTTTTAAATGTTTTACATGTTCGGTCTTACATGTTCGGTATATATATATATATATATATATATATATATATATATATGAATGTACACGGTAGATAATTGTTTGTACTAATTGTACTTTTCCTAATTATCTAAAAAAAAATAGTGTTTAAAATATTACTCTACAATTAAAAGGCATTTCTTATTAGTGAATGTTACTGTAGCAGAGTGTTGTGTAACTGTGTGGAAGGAGACAGCGTATTCCCACCTGCCTTACATAACCACCTGCATACTTTCCCAAGGTACCAAGCTGTCAGTGTGTGTGTGTGTATGTGTGTATATAGTATACTAAGGAACAGCATGACATCTCGCTGTACTGCTTCTATGACAACAAATAAAGTAGCAGCGTGAAATCTTTGAAGTACACAAAATAAGCACAGATTGTGTTTCACCCACAATGGACCAACACTTACGTATATTCATCCAACCTGATCGCAGTAGTAGTTCATCAGCCCGGGTTCTGTGCTAGGGGCCAGAAGGTTGTGAGTTCAAATCCCAGGACTGCTGGATAGCCACTGTACAAGGCCTGTATATAACTTGATATTAACGAACCTGTCTTTTCTGTCAGCGTCTGCTATGCTATGGGACATTTGAGGACCAGAGACACCACTGACTCAGTGTAATCATCCCTAACGTTTCTTAAGATGTCTATTGGAGTGGGTCTGGAGGAAAACTGAGGGGAAAAAAATCAGTATTGCAATGGTGATGTTTGGTTTATGAATCTCTCCACACTCCAAAGAAAGCACTGGCTTAAAAAAACATTCAGTAAGCTTTGATTTCAAGCCTCCTTTCTGCAAATCCTTAATAAAGCGGTTAAATTGGTGCAAATCTAATCACAAGCATCTTTATCATAAATGCCCATATATTCAGCACATGATGTTTTTCCATTGGGGCTCAATGTGAGTTTCATTTTTTGTGATCAGATTCAAGTATTACTCAGCCTTACTCATTACACTACTGAAAAAAAAAACTTATTCCAACAGACCAATACTTCCCCCTTGTGGACATCTACTCTACCACACTAGCACTGAAAAGGCTACTCATTGTACAGTAGCATGTATATAATTTAAATATGGAGAACAAAAGCAACCCAGAAATCCTAGTATCTACATTCAACTATTTATCTCCATTAAACATACCCAAAACATCTTCTGAAGACCATATTTCTCTGTATACTGAGCATATTTCTTGATGTGGCAGTTCCACAAAAATGATATTAGACAACAAGAAAAGTTACAGAAGCACCTACATTTTATCACGATGAAGAAATTAAGATATGCAAACTGGAAATGCCACCAACCCTACACATGCCCCCCTTCTCCTGGTAAACCCATGGCCTGCATTTGCATTAGGGGTGTAATGCAATGCCATTATCTGTATTTGTTTAGTGCCCCAATCGTATCAGTATCTGTATTTGAATTTGAATTTGAATTTAAATGTGCATGAGACTTTGTTTTTTTTATGTGCTGAAGGCACACACACTTTAACCATAACAACACTCGTACCAATCCTGTCAGCGATCTGACTAGTATAGCTTACTATCTAGTTTAGATTTTATTATTATTATTATTATTATTATTATTATTATTATTAGGGGGCCAAGCACCAAGCACCTTTTCTTCTTCTTCTTCTTCTTCTTCTTCTTCTTCTTCTTCTTCTGGCTAGGGTGTCTATGGCAGCCCATAGAGCCATCTGGTAAAAAGTTGTGAAATAAGCTCTCATACACTCATTATTTGTACCTGCCCACAACATTTCTGTTTCCCAAAACATCAATACGCAACGCAACCTGACCAGGCAGTTACTAAGGATAAATGAATGAATACTGTAAATACATGATTCACGTTTCATGAATGTGGTATTTCTATATGCCGTTAGCTCGCTCTTGCCTACATGAAAGTAAAAAACCTCACACCTATAGTGATAGTGCGTCTCCTATTCATATCTGTGTTTGTATCTGTTTAGAACACATTATCTGTTCATTCTGAATATGTATTCAGTTAAGTCCCTAATTTCCATATTGAACCTGATAGACTCTTATGTTTAATACTAAAACAATAAAGTTTTTTGACCACTCGTCTCACTCAAATAAATTCTCCAGAAAGGATTTAAATATAAAAACGGCAGCTACTCATGTATGAATTAAAAACAAACATCACTGTTAAAGTCATGATGTGCAGGAATTTAAAGACTGGCCAGCCTGCTGGTGTTTCTGAACACAGCATATTCAAGGACATAGCGGAATGAATTTATTCACTGACAAAAGGAAGCCAAGGGGTCACGCAGACACCAGACATTAAACCATGACCTTATTGACAGCACTGTAGGACCACCACCGCAATCTTAAATCCTGATAATGCTGAGGTCTAGAGGACAAAGAAGAAAAGAGAGAATAAAACAGTGATGTGTATAATATACAGTACAGTACAGGATACAGCGCTGTACCACTGTTGAAACGAGATGTCTTCATTTTACAGTAAAGCAGTGCTTGTTTTTCATTTCTTTTCTATTCCTTCCAGATAGAAGGCAGGACATAATCTTCCTGGTACTGAATAAAATCTGAAGTGAGTGTGGGTGACAAATATTTCATTCCAGTTCTATAAGACAATACAGAATATGAAATATACACATACTATATATAGACATACTACATATTATAGCCATCAGGAAAAATCAAGAAAATAGACACATTACATTAAACCAATAAATACAAAATATCTTTATTCTCATTGTACATGTACAGTAGTACCAATAATGTGCATATATCTTGTGCATATTATATCTATTGTTCAATATGTGAGAGCATCGGGGTAACGAAAACCACAAATATGTGCAAGCTTTACTAATAAATTTAAGTGATTTATATTGTTCCCTATTTACATATTATATAAATATATGTAAATATTTGATATACATATCTGACTGTAGTGTTCTTGTTGCACACTGAGCCTCTTATAATGTTTCCTGCGGTGTTGGGATGTTTCAGAGCTCTTGTAGATATTTCACAACTAATTGTAATTGATGATGCTGTAGGTGGTTTGGGTTACTGACAGGAAGCGGGTTTTGGTGAAGGCCTCATTATTTTTTTGTTTTTTGTTTACTTTCTCATTTGCATGAACGTAATCTCTTTTAGATGGCAGCAACCTTCATTAAAAGCACCTTCCCCTGCTCCTGTATTCTGCCTCCAGAAATTAACCCTCAACACCCCAGCATGGAAACCTTGCAAACTGCTTCATTTGGCCTTTCAGGTTTGTGCCACAACAATGAAATGTGTCTAGACAATGAGTGATGACTCATTAATAGTCATTAATTCATAATCAGGAAGACAGGAAATGTTTTATCCTGGTCATGGTTGTGGTGGATCCAGAGCCTATTTCAGGAATTCTGGTCTATCGCAGGGCGCCATGAACACATATTCAGACTTAGGGGCAATTTAGGGCAGCCACTCCACCTAACAGCATGTTTTTGAGAGGTGGGGGGAAACCAGAGAACCTGGAGAAACACACAGACATGGGGAGAACATGGCAAATTCGTCACAGACAGTAACTCAAACTCAGGATTGAACCAGGGATCCTGGAGCTGTAAGGCCACCACGCTCCACCAGATTCCATCATTTCAGTGTATCTGTTTGTAACAGATGAGTAGACCGAATTTGTGAACAGAGCAGTTACTGAACTTCACATGAAGGCATACTCTCTCAATCCAAATACTGTTTTTGACCCTTTTTTATTCTTTGAGCTTTACTTCTTCCAGTACTTCATCACTAGTGTTCCAATACAAGACAGTTACTCTCATCTTTTTTTTTTTTTTTTTTTTTTGGAACTGCTTCCCAAACCAGACGGTCCACACTTTTTCTTCTCCCAGATCCTAACACACCAGGTATTCGGTGTTCCTAATTGGTTTTTTTGTTGCTGTGCTGGGAACTGGCGGAGAGCAAGCCTGTGGACT